AACGCGCGTAATGATTTAGCCAAGTTAAATTATGCTTATAATAATATATTGGAATCTATATAGATTGGCTGGAGCATTGAGTATGTTTATGTGTGTATATATATATATATATATTTTTTTTTTTCAGTTGGCACTACAGACCTTGAAGATCTTTGTCTGTGAGATGTGGTTTCCTAGACCACATCCCGATTCCCGACTTAAGTACACGGGGGTATGGTCATCAGTCTTACATCCGGTCGGTGTGAGTTGCCTCCAGTAGACTGACGGGCCTCACATACCTGGGGGGAGGGAATCCCGGGCAGCGTGGCTTTCCCTGGTGGATGGTCGCCCCTCGAGCGGTCACCATCCAAGTGCTAACCACGTTCAGCGTTGCTTAACTCGATTACCTCTTGCAAGCGCCTTAGCCCGTACGGCTACCCCAGCCCTCTTTCTATATATATATAGAACAAGGCTTCTGGTGAGGATGGCGTCCTAGCAGAAATGTGGAAAAATTCCAGTGAGGTGTTCAGGAGAAAAGTCACAGAACTACTGGACGTCTGGAAACAAGAGAAAATACCAACAGAATGGAAAACCGCCCTAATCCACCCTCTTCACAAAAAAAGCGTGAAAACCGAGGTAGACAACTACAGGGGGATCTCTCTACTGCCAGTTGCCTACAAAATTTTTTCTAAGGCCCTACTAAAGAGGATAGAGCCCCAAATAGACCACAAAATAGGAGAATATCAGGAAGAGAGATCCTGCCAAGAACAGAAACTTAGTCTGAAACTTCTCATGAAATATTATCTGAATAGACCGCAGAAAAACCTTTATATATCTTTCGTGGACTTTGAAAAAGCATATGACTCCATAGACAGAGAAACCTTACTGAAAATCCTGAGGGAATATGGCGTCGATCATAAGACCATAAACCTAATAAAAGAAACTCTAACAGAAACCAAGTCAAAAATAAAATTAAGAGGGAATATAAGCAAACCATTTCCGATAAAAACCGGTGTGAGACAAGTGGACGGACTGTCACCTATTCTCTTCAACGTTGTTCTCGACAAAGTTATGAGGACCTTATGGGAAAAAGAAACATCAGGAGCTAAAGTAGGAAATCAAAGGAGCAATATTCTGTTAAAATGTCTAGCCTTTGCGGATGACTTGGCCCTATTGGCAGATCTGGAGGAAGAGGCGATTAGACAGATAAATTCGCTGAAAAAAATAGCTGAGAAAACTGGACTTAAAATCTCCTTCCAGAAGACTAAATTTATGACCACAAATCCCAACTTTAGGAAGACAGAAATAAAAACAGAATTCGGTAAAATCAAGGTGGTTTAAAGCTTTAAATACCTGGGCGAAATAATCAGCAGAAATTTATCGGAGAAAGAAAGCATGGAGTATAGGATTAAAAATTTGGAGAAATTATGCTACGTAAGGAGTAGCATTTATAATAAAAAATGTCTCTCCAAAATCAGGCACAATACAGTGGTAAAGCCAGTGATACTGTATGGAACGGGGACAATGTTCTTTCCCAGTTTGGAGAAGCTGCTGAAAATAGAAAGAAGGATTCTTAGAAGAATCCATGGACCCAAAATAACACCAGAAGGATACAGACTGAAATCCAATAAGGAGATTTACAGTGAAACCTCTGATTTGGAAACGGAAATGAGGGTAAAAGAAGACTTAGGTTTTATGGACACATGCAAAGGATGACCGAGGAGAGGTTAAACAAGAAGATTTTCAGTAGGGTTATGGGATACAAGTTTAACCATGGATATACGGTACAAATAAAACAGGAAATACAGAGGCTTGGGATAACACGGGAATTATGTGAGGATAGGACAGAATACAAGAAATTCCTGAAAAGTGCGGTGCATGTGGTGGACAGTAAGGAACTTCCGTCCAGGAGGAAGTGGACGGAGGAGAGGAAGAAAAAATTTAGCGATATCCTCAAGCAGAGATGGGCAGAAAAGAGGAAATTGAAAAAGAAACCAGTTTCATAGTCGCGTAGTCCTTCAGGGCTGTTTCGCGTCAAATAAATAAATATATATATATATATATATATATATATATTGTATATATGTATATTGTATATATGTATATATGTGTGTATATATATAAATTTTAGTGGTAGCAATAGACAATGGACAGAAGTAGGAACCACGTTAATTTGATTCATTATTGTAATTTTATATGTAAGACTGGCTCTTTATACTTTATTTTATTGTAATCTATTTTAAATTTTAGCATTTGACGTTAGTATAAAATACATGTAAGATTGTTTTAATTCATTACTTCAGCAATTTTAATGTTTTAATTTGGCAATTTTAATTATAACCAAACAGAGATTGTTATTGTTGGTATCAGTATTATTCTCAGACTCCAGGATCGGGGTGCGCATTGCGGTCCTCAGTAGCTTGATGTCCTTGTGGCGGTACTGTTGGGTCTGTCAGCGTGCTGCCCGGCTTGCAGTATCGATGCTCAATTAAAAGTAAGAAAAATTTGGTATTATTTTTGAAATGCATGAAAACTTTTGACTGTTATACCAATGATAAGTATTGTTTTTCCAGAACTGAAGAGGATCCCATTATTTATGTTAAAAAACAGGGATTGAAACGTTTTTGAATAAAAGGAGTAAATAGAAGTTTTTTTAAGTCATTTAAGTGTATTTCATGACCTATTATCCGACTATAATTCATGTCTTAAGATATATATATATATAATGACCAAAAAAAGGATAAATAAAAATATGATAAATAAGTTTTAGTAAATATAATTTTCTATCGGAATTTTTACTTGTTGGGCGCTTGGCTTTACCAGCCTTTCATCTCTAAAGAGATAAATCTAGAACATATATTGTACTTACCCATTATTTGGCTATCATTAAATAGTTATTCTACCATGCTAGCTCAGGTGAGAAGGGATTAGGTTGGATATTTTAATAAAGCAGCAAAAAAGGTTAAGAGATCTGTTTACAGAAAGAAATATTTACAGAATTAATACAATGTGCAAGCAAAAGAAATAAAATAAAAGGAAATAGAGATAATTTATACATAATTACTATATACAATTAAAGATAAATAGGAACATACTTAAGATAATAAAAATAACAAAAAAGATACTTATTCTATATACAATAGTATGGCATGCCACATATAAACATCAAGTAACAAAAGTCAAGATATAAGAGATATAAAATGTAAGAGCACATGCACATGCTAAAATATGATTTAATAATTAGTCATAGGAAACAAAAGAGAGAAGAGTTCTATTTGTTTTCAATGCTTTCTCAATCTTGGTTACAATATATATATATATATATATATATATATATATATATATATATATATATATATATATATATATATATATATTGTAATAAACACCTTAATTGAAAGTTCTTAAAAATAGTTTAATGAATTAATGTAACAGTTAAAAGACAAGCTAATCTAGTTCTACTAGTTCAGGAAAAAGAAAATGCCCGCTCTATAGTTTACTCAGAAAGGAAAATCCCAAAGAGGAGAGGGGACACAAAGGATTTTTGTTTTGGCAAGTAGTTGGTGTTTGGCTAAGATGAAGGGAGGGATGGGAAAATAAATCCAGGCCCCAGTTGGTAAAACTCAGTAATATTATTACTATCTTGGAAGTTGTTGTTTGGCAGAGAGGCCAGTTGTTTGGAATTACAAGAGAGAGGATCTCCCTGGGATCTTGAGTTGAGTAGAAGAAAGTGCCACCATTTTGGATGATATGTTTGGTAGAACATAGGAAAATGTTAGAAGACAAATGAATTTAGTGCAACAAAGGAAGAAAAAGTATATATAGAAAAAAGGTTAGCTTGCTAATCCATACTTGGCTTTATTTTCAAATCAGTGTTTAATTTTAGTAAAAATAGTGTAAATAATAATAGTTTGTCTGAGTATTTTGATCTGATTGTCAGTAACCCATAACTGAGATAGAATAATTGTAAATTTCAGTTTAATACATTAATACTCTTATAATTTGTTTTTTATTTAACTACCTCTATTTATTTAGGAAGTATCCCAACAGTATAAAGTGATCTTCCGAGGTTATATTATTATTAGTTTAAAATATAAGAGAGATGTTACAATTTATATATATATATATATATATATATATATATATATGTATATATATATATATATATATATATATATATATATATATATATATATATATAAAGCCAAGGCAATTATAGGAATAGGAAATTCATTATTATTCATATTCAAAAAAGAAAGATCACCTCTTTGGAAACCTTTAGTGGAAGCAAGATCTTAACTGATATAATATTGATTCAATATGATTGGACCGTGTGAATACCCCTTCAATATATTGCCTTCAATTTTATTTATTCAATAATATTGACTGAGCAAGGGGCCCTTTAGAACAAAGACAAAAACATTGGAAAAAAAAAACACTACGTAGGATTACTTATGACATAAAAATATCAAATTTACAAACATCCATAGAAAGAAAATGCTTCTTAATTTTGGATTAAATACTTTTAAAAAAAATAGTTCTATCATTTCACACTATGTTTTATATTTATTTTAAATATTTAAAAAAATTGTGGTATTTTGCATTTCTGAAACAAGAAACCATATATCAACTTCTAAAATTACATTTTATTCGTTTTAAAATAAATAAAATAGCAAATGAACCTTTCTCACACTTTTCAAATTTATTAATATTAATAAATTAATAGTCTATTATATCTTAAATTATTGATTTTATGTAGAATGGTAAATAATAATCTTAAAACGTCCAGAAACAAGGCCCGGAGGTGTATTATTGGTCTAGTGGTTACGTCACAGCTCGATTCCTCCCCATCATTTTCCCTCTGAGTGAACGAACCTGGTAGTTTTATAAACATTGTGTTAATATTATATGTATTTGCCATGAATAGTTAATAATAGCTATGCCTGTATGTATAAATATTTTCTTGTTATAACTGTTGTTTTTTTTAATTTTGTAAGAGGTTTTAATGTTATTGTTTTCAGTTTCAGTTTGTAAACTCATTTTTGTCTCTGTTCTACATCGCTTTTTATCTTCAAGATCAAGAAAAATTAAAAGAGGTTGGACTTTTTTCTTTCTTAGTTAGATAGTGTGTGAAGTGAAAATTTGTTGTATAGTAATTTAAAAACATTGTAAACTTTTTATTTTTATTTCATGGCATTATTATCTAATTTTGCTCGAAAGTGAAATGTTTTTTATCATTCATTTTAGTTCTCAACTTGAATTGTATTTCATGCCCCTCACGTCACCCTCTAGTTATTCATTTCATTTCTAATTATCTTCTATGTCAAAGTGACCTTGTTTCAGTATTTTTTTTTTCTGTTTCTATAGTATGCTCAAATAATTATTATCTTATATTTTTATTGAGATAAACTTAGAATCGGTAATAATCTGTCCGAAAAATTTGAGGTTCGTTCGGGTTTAAAACAGGGGGATTCCCTTTCGCCTGTCCTGTTCAATTTGGCATTAGAACATGCCATTAGGGAGGTAATGCGTACCGAGAAAGGGTTGGATCTGGGCGGGACAACATCCGTGCTGGGCTATGCTGATGATCTGGTACTGTTAAGCGAAGACGTTGAAACTATAAAACTAAATACGACAACGTAATACGACAATGAAAGCCGGTAAAGAACTAGGACTCGAAATAAACGTGGATAAAACAAAATATATGGTTAGCTGCAAAAATGGCAATACTACTGGTGATATCGATATAGATGGTAATATGTTTGAACAGGTAAATAAGTTTAGGTATCTAGGTTCTACGATAACTAGAAAAAACGAAATTGAAGAAGAAATTAAGGTTAGACTGAAGGCGGGAAATGCTTGCTATTTATCTGTGACAAAACTACTCAGTTCGCGCCTCTTGTCCCGGAACTTAAAAATTAGAATCTATAAAACAATTATCTTGCCTACAGTTCTTTATGGGTGCGAAACTTGGCCACTTACATTAAGGGATGAGCAGCGTCTTAAGGTTTTTGAAAATAAAGTATTGCGTAGAATATTCGGACCGAAGAAGGATGAGTTAATCGGAGAGTTCAGACGGTTACACAATGCCGAATTGCGTGAACTGTATCCGGGTAATATAATTGAGGTAATTTCATCGCGGCGAATCAAATGGGCTTGTAAAGTTGTTGGACTTAGTAACGAGAGAATTCCTAAAAGGTTAATATTTGCTGTGCCGAATGGTAAGCGTCCGAGGGGTAGACCGAGGCGAAGGTGGGAAGATTGCATTAAAGCCGATCTGAAGGGACTGGGTTTGGACGGCGAACGATGGAGGGAGGTGTGCAATAAGCGATTGGTGGTGTCGGCATCGAACCTTCGGGTTCGCTAAGCCTTTTTATTATTATTATTATTATTTTTATTGAGATAATTATATTGTTGTTGGAATCATCTCTTTGAATCTTATTTAAGTTTAGGTGCACTTATATTGGAATTGTTTTCTAAAAGGGATATGGGGATATAGAAGAAGTGTTCATATTGGAGTAGTACTTTGCCTTGGGCTGTATTAGAATCATTAACTCTAATATGAAGAAATAATGACTGATAAATTGAGGATTTAGAGAAAGTTTCTGTAGAAAAAAAAAAAATCATGGTAAGAACTTTTCTAGGATTGAAAATGATTCTAGAAGAAGATGGAGTCTCTCAGAGGCAAACTTATATATATATATATATATATATATATATATATATATATATATATATATATATAAAGTTTAAACACTATTAAAAATGAGAAGAGTTATTTAATAAAGCATTCAAGTACCAAACATTTTGGAGATTCAATTTAAATATAAATTTATATGACTACTTATTATAAACTATTAAGTGAATAGTAATAAACAGATACTGGATTGGAGTGCAATAAAACATGCCATATAATATACCATGAAAAATTGTAAAATATACAGAAAATAGCTATAAATATGCAATCAAATTAATGATCTTACTAACATTTCTAAACTAAGTAATAAATTGAAATTTATTTGTGCTTATTTGTTTTAGGTGAAATTATTTATAATAATATAAAGTAAGGCTGTGTTTTTACTTCACCACATTTATTTCCATTTTACATTGGCTACGTTTTGGCTAGCATGCCATTTTCAAGCCATCTGTAAGACAAACTCACAATTCATTTCATACACATGACATTAAAAAAACACAGAAACGGATTTTTTTAAAAAGATTAATCGTACTCTCAAATTGGTTTTTTTTATCATGGGTATCGAAATTTCAAACCAAGCTTGCAGGTGTCATCAGAGTTAAAATTAAGGTTTTTTAAAATTTTTACTGCAATTTCTAACTGTGCAATTTAATGAAAAATTTAACCAGCCAATTCTTTCTTATTTTGTGTTACATCATTTTTGGTGACTGAGAATATGTATTCTGTTTATAGTTCCATATTTCTTTCTCTCTTCTTTATTTCAGATTTATTGTATGCCTTTAGGACCTTATTTATTTTATCTTATTTAAACCCTACCCTGCCGGTAAGGCAATATGGGTGTTATGCAGCAGTGAGTAGCAACATATGCGTTACAACTCATTTGCTGCATTCAGACCAATTACATTTCTTTTCTTGTTTTTTTATTTTTCAGCTGTCCACACAGCATGCTATTTTTTCTTTTTAGTCAGCGTCCTCTTACACCCTCTCTGGCGGTCTTCCGGATGCAGGTTCATCTCTTCTTCCCAATGAAAAGTGGGTTGAACCAACAAGTTCCTTCCACCCGTATACGAAGGCCTTGTAGTACGGTTATTTTTCCTTTGCCATAAGTTGAGGGAGATCGCTCTCCGTCAGAACGTAAAGCCCCGTCTCCCTCAACAACTTAGCCCTCAGTGCCTCAAAGGTGGTACAGACAAGGATGATATGCTCGGGGGTCTCTGGCACTCTGGAACGGGCATATGGGATCAATGTTCTTACCATATTCAACAAGCTTTGCTTGGAAACCCCCGTGCCCTGTGAGGTCCAGTATTCCAGGAGAACCCATGTCTGTTCCATTCTTGAACCAATGGTGGGGAAATATTTTGTTAGCTTAGCCCCTTTTGGCGACATCACCCACTACTGATTCCATTCTTTTAATGTGTTCTCCCAAAGAATGCTCTTCCATCTATTAGGGTCTTCACTGATCCTCACACGGAGATTCGCTGGTAGATCCACCAGGCCTTCTCCCTTCATCTTATGCCAGAAGTATTCTTCTCGTAGAAGAAGATCAATAGGAGTAGTTCCGGCTAAGGCTTGTACCGCCTCATCAGACACTGTCCAGTACGCTCTAGTGACCCGCAGCAGAGCCATCCGCTGGATTGTTGCCAACCGTTTCTTCTGTTGGTGCGAGAGATGATGACTCCACGCAGGGGACGCATATGCCTTTAGGACCTGCCAGGTGATGGCAGAAGGCCAGTTGGAGCCTGCTTTTTTGCTTGAAAACATGATCTTTCATCGACTTTGATCCCTGTCAGTCCCCTAATTCTTATTGTGCAGAGTTTTTATGCTGTCAGTATGTTTGGTCAAGTTATCTGATGTTTTCTGTAAGTCCACCTTATATTTGTGGGTTCTGTTGTGAAAGATTATGTTTGTTTGAATAACTTTTTTTTGCATGTATCTTAGATTTGTTATCTTGGAGATAATCTATAACTTTAAGTACAGCTTATTTCTCTGCTTGACTATGAGAGCACCATAAGATCAGATTATCTCTTTTTGTGCTTGTTTCATGATTGATACTTGACTATTCTTCAGTAACAAAGCACATTCCCTGTTAAATCTTCCTTGGTTCGGTTTATAAAAACTTTTGCCTGAATTTTTGTATGTTAATATTTACTGTCAGTAGCTTAGCCAACGATTTGCAGTTATTTTACTGTCTTAATCAATGCCGGCCTTGGACATTTGGTCCCCCTGGGCAAGACGTCATCTTCCCTCCCCCTAAAAATGTTAAATTTATTTCTTGAGCTGTTTAATGTTATGTTATTTTTTAGTTTTACTGCATTCAACATTTTTCTAATACAGTTGCATTATTGGTAGGATAAAATTAATTATTTTAGTACGTTTTGTAATTTTTTTATTTTTTACAAATGGCAAACGTCCCTAAAGATAGACTGCACGCCCCCAACGGACACCCCTCCAAGTCGGCAATTGCCTCAGTTGCACTACCCTAAGGCTCACACTGGTTTTAATAGCATGTATTTAATGATTTATTGATTTTTCTTTTAGTTAGCTTAACTATTTCTATGATTTTATGACCAGATTAAGGTTTTCATTATTAAAATACAGGATCTTATTGTATATATCCAGGTACTGGTATTTGATCTTATTCTACAAGTGGATATGTTATTCTCTTTTGTTAACCCCATATGCATATGGCTATTTAGATGTTGCCACCCTTTTCTAAACAGTGTGGGTAGGAATGGCAAGATGCCACAAAATAAAAATTTATTGACACTTTAGGAAATCAAATCTACACTATAATCATCCCTACTTGGCCAAAATATTAAGAGTTTATATATATAGTAACATAAAGTATTAAGAATTTATATATAAAATGAATTGATTTAATTTATTATCTCTAATAAAGTTAAATATTGAACATAATTTATTCAGACTATTTGTTGATTTAATTTTTCATGTGGTAATATAAACTAATTCTCTTTGTTCATTTTTTTTTGTTGAAAATCCAATAATTAAATAACTTTTATGAATGTTTAATTTTTTTCTAGCAATTAGCTGCTTTATTGATTGCCCGCCAGGTGATTGGAAACCTTAAAGAATCTGCACTACCGTATTTCATGGAACAAGTTAGACTAGCTAAAATGAGTTTCGAAATGTTTGGTGCTTTAAGCCCTTCTGAGGCTCAGAATAACCCAGAGAAATCAACAAATGGAAATAGAAATATAAGTCAGGCTGAACTTGAAAGTTCATTGTTTAAGGTAAAAGACTATTTGTATAAAAGCGGTGCCAGACATGTGGAATTTGATAAATACCGAGTTCTGAGTACTACCCCTTTCATTTGCTAAGTGCTGATTGATAGAGACCGATCACTATTTGTTTGACAAGCAAGCTTTTTTCTGAGTTTATGTTTCTTGCTGTTTTTTGTTCTTTGAAGCCAAAGGTAATGATTATTCGGACAACTGTTATTTAGATCTCCATCCACACATTTGTGGGAAGGTAAATGAAAATCAACTTTTTTATTTATTTATATTTAATTACCTCTAAGACATGCAAGACTCTGAAAGATATTCCAACAGAAAACAAAAAAAAACCGACTACATTACCGCTTCAACCCAGGAAGAGTTTTGGATTCATTACTTTATTAAGAAGTACTGTGTCAAGGCCAATGATTGAAGGCCAATATATTGAAATCAAAAAAGGGTGATGAATAAAATTTAAGCAAAATGGACTTAAAACAGTGCTTTTTTGAAAATAAAAACATACCAATACTATTTACTATCTGTAATATATGTATCTAAGGATATATTTATTTTTTTAATAAAGTAATGAATTTCTTTTAACAGTAATCCTGTCTCTAGACAAACATCCATTAAAACATTTTTGGATCTTAAAATGCTGAGTCCAGTCGGGCGTCAACTTGTTGACAATTTTGTTTCACTGCATTGAATATGTCAGCCTCATGATAATTCTCACAAACTGTTGGCTAAACTTTAAAATATTACGGCTAAAAAAAAATTGAAACACATTGACTAGGCCGTTATAGTGGACGTCTCTGAAAATGAATGACGAGAGTTCAAAGCAGGCTGTGGCCACCGTGTCCAGTAGAGCTGATAGCTGATCTAGGAAGACAAAATTCATTGAGCATAATTTTTTATTGTAAATCATATATTTGTCACAAATAAAACTTTTATAGTCTTAATTAAGTCAATATAAATTTAGTTTATGGTGAAAAATTAATTTTTATGAAAATTTAATTTAATCTATTTCCCTTATTAATTTCTTCAACAATCAAGACATTAGAAGTCTCACTCTCTGGCTGAAGTCCCTCATAATCACATCCTATCTGTAATTTAAATTTCCCTTTTATTTCCTTCGTTTTAAATATGTACCCCCTTCAAAAATCCATAACCCCATAAAAATGAAATGAAATTTTTTTTTACTATCCTGGGACTGTTGTCCCTTTAGAAGAAATTATAGATACAGAAAAAATGCCTATGTGACCATACATTAAATTAAATATTTACAAAATAATATCTTTTTAAAATTAAAATATAGGAAGAAATAAAAACCCTTTAATAACAAAACAAAAACATACAGATATATATAAAGTAAACATGGGAAAATAAAATAACATAAGTAAACAAAATAATTTTTTGGGGAACTTAAAAAGTTCTGTTATGTACATTTCGTGATCAATCGGGTTGGGAAATGAGCTGGTGCTTAAAAAAGATAGATTTAAATGAGGAAACTGATTGTGCATGTCAGATATCGAGAGAGATGATATTCCAGAAGAAGACGGTTTGAATTATAAAGGATTTGTCAAACGCAGCAGTTCGGTGTGGAGGAGGATAGAGGTAGAAAGTACGGGATTGAATGGAGTATTTAAATTATTGGCTGTGAAAAATATAGGAAGGTCGCTGAGTTCTGATGGCATGGTACAGAAAGGTAGTAAGGCAGTGCAGACAGCGTTTGGATGGATAGAGCCACTTCAACTCTGTGTAATACTGGGTTATATGCGTATCTCTTGAGATTCTGAAAAAAAAAGTATTGAGCAATTCATTAGGCATTTAAGTTTGGCTTCGAAATCTCCTGAGAGTCTGCCGTACACCAGACAGCCATTGTCAAAATGGAGGAACACAAGAGAGGAAACTAGGAGTTGACAGGATTTATATGGAAGGAGATAGTGAAGACGGTTGAACTGTTTCAGGGTAGAGATAGTACGACAGGAAATTTGGGACATGTGTGGTTTCCAAGAGAGGGTTTGATCAAAGGTAACACCAAGTTATTTTACAGCTGTATGGAATGAAATAGTTGAGTTGATCAGGGCGTGTTAGGGAGTGTCGGTAAGGATTTGAGGAGTGAGGGAGATCTGATCAGGATGGCTTTCATCTTCTTGGCGTTTAGAATAATCCTATCGTGGTTTGTTCAAGCACAAATTCCGTTTATATCTTCCTGTAATTTTTGGATGACATCAGAGGATTTGGTCAGATTGAACGAGAGGTAAAGATTCTGATGGGGGGTTATTAGGGACTACAATACCAGGGGCGACCGGTAAGAAAGGATTGGAACCAATTAAGGGCACTAGTAGAAAAGGAGATATTTTTAAGCTTGGTTAGGAAAATTTTGTGGTCTATTGTGTCAAAGGCTTTGGAGAAGTCAGGGAGAATAAGGATGATGAGTTTCTGCTGGTCTGGTCCATGACTGTATGAAGATCTTGGGAAATTTTGATGAGGGCAGACTGAGTGGAGTAGCCAGGGTGGAAAATGGATTGGTTGGGATTTAGGAGGTTATTTTGTTCTAAAAAGTCCGACAACTGGGTTTGAATTAGTCGCTCTAAAGATTTGGAGAGGTTTGAGAGGAGAGAAATTGGACGGAAATCATTAAGAGTTGATGGGTTGGAAGTCTTCTTCAAAGGGCAAACTAGTGCGGTTTTCCAGGATGTAGGAAAGATAGCGTTTTGTAGTGAGTAATTGTAGATATGTTAGAAGATTGGAAGAATGGATGGTAGAGAGGCTTTGATCAGTCTAACTGGGATGTTATCAGTGAGGTCCATAATCATTGGTATGGGATTTATGGATGGAGTTAAGGAGGTCATCTGGGGTACTATGTGGGAAAAAAGTGATCAGGATTAAAATTGAAAGGGGAATACATAGGAGCCGGTATGGATGCATGAGATGAGGATGAGAAGGAACAGGAGATAAAGTGAGCGTTAAGGTCGTCAGCAGAAAAGAAATGGACTGGGTTTGAGGTATGTTACCAATCGTCAGTTTTCTGAGAATTGATAGCCTACTTGGTCTATGAGTTTGGGGTGTTGGATATGGAATGATGGAAATAAAGAGATTTGACTCAGCATATAGCAGATTGAGTGCTGTCTCCAAGCTGCTTGAAGGTTATATAGTCTTCCTGGAGTTCCTGGGGTACCTTTTTCACCGCCGTCTAGCAGCATCTCTTCTTCTCGTGCACTCTCAGAGCGAGTGTCAGCCAAGGAGCAGGGGGATGTCGGATGGTTTTTGTTAAAAGAGGAGCATGGCAGTCAAGGATGGTGTGAAGATGGTTGGTAAGGGTTTCTACCATGGCGTCAATGGATTTTAAGGAATAAATGTGGTCCCACTGGGTAGCATCGAGATCCTACAACAGGGCTAGGCTTCATAGGTGAAGGAATTGAGGTTTTGGAAGGATATGGTTCGGGGAGGAAAAAGTGGGACCGGAATATTGTAGGAAATCTGGATAAGATCATGGGAAGACAGAAACGGAACCGGGTGCTGAGATGCAACGAGGAGTTAATCTAGGGAATCCAAGATAAAAAGATCAAGCCAGGGTTCTGAGAACTGGGTATGATGGGTAGGGTTGTAGGATACTATATAAAGGTTGAGAGATTGGCAGGTAGGAGTGGTCAGAGGATGGTATCAGTAAATTGGTATTGAAGTCTCTGGATAGAATAATATTGGAATAGGAAGGGATGAAGTTGTAAAGGGAAGTCTCAAGTAATTCTTCAAAGGGAATTGTGGGGAGGAGGGTGAAGGACTGCAAAGAGAAGGGGGATGATGGGTTGAGGATTTTAGTAAAAAAATATTCTAGGTGTGGAGAATTGGTATGGGAAGAGCAATGGAGAATTTTGAATTTAAGGCTGTCATCGACAAAGAGACACCACTACTTATACTATCCACTCTATGACGAAGGAGGGTATAATTGGGTAAAATAATTTTGCCGCCCAAATCAAGTAATGCTGGGGTAAATTAATGCTGCCCCGTGGCATTCTTCTCTCAAAAACTCAATGATAGCGAACATCGACATTCAGCTGTTGAGAAAGAGGCCTATTCTATTATTTGCTCAAAAATGGAGACACTTTCTATTAGGACGATATTTCACAATAATCACTGACCAGCGCTCTGTGTCCTTTATGTTCGATTCAAAGCATCAGAATAAAATTAAAAACGAGAAATTACAGAGATGGCGTCTTGAGTTATCATGCTACAATTATGATATAATATACGGACCGGAAAAATATAATCTCAGATACCTTCTCAAAAATATGTTGCTCGATTCAATAAACCTAACAAACTATATTCTCTGCATTGTGATTTGTGTTATCCTGGTGTGATTCAAATGATCCACTGGGTAAGAACGCATAATCAATCGTTTTCAGTTGAAGAGATCCGAAAAATGACCTCATCTTGTCCTACATGCAATTTCATAAAGCCAAGATTTTATAAGATGGCCAATTCTAAGCTCATCCAGGCTACTCATCCTTTTGAAAGAATTAGTATGGATTTTAAAGGCACTCTTCCCTCAAAAACTAGAAACAAGTACCTCCTGACCATGATTGATGAGTTTTCCCGGTTTCCATTTGCTTATCCTTGCCCTGACATGAATTCTCCAACAGTTATAGACTGCCTCATTTATTTATTCTTAATTTTTGGAACCCCCTCATACATTCATGCTGATAGAGGGACTTAATTTACTTCTCGGGAACTCCAAAATTACCTACATTCACGGGCAATTTCTATTTCTTTGCCATATAATCCATCAGGGAACGGCCAGATAGAATGCGAGAATGGCATGATCTGGCGAACTATTTCACTGGCTCTTAAAAAAAAATTATCTTGATTCATCTCATTGGGAGTCTGTACTTCCAGACTCTTTGCATTCCATACGATCGGTTTTGTGCAAAGCGACCAATGAGACGCTCCATAAGAGAATGTTCAAACACAACCGATTATTAACCAATGGTTGTTCTCTACCCTCCTGGCTAATACCTTCATCTAAACTGTTGATGAATAAGCAGGTAAGGTTAAGCAAATATGATCCTTTGGTGGAGGAGGTGCATCTGATAGATGTCAATCCGCATTACACCATGGATCGAACTGGTGATGGCTGAGATGACAGTCTCTTTAAAGCACTTGGCACCAAGTGGTGATTCTTCCAATCACTCACCACTGGACGACAATAGTTCCATTCACCTGATACCACGTGATGACTCTTTCCGGGTGAATCCTCATAAGTTTCACCACCCAAGTGAACTACATATGCAAAATGTGAAAACGTAAGAGTTGGATACAACACAACCAAGACACCGTTCAACAAGGGAGTGTCGCATGCCTGACCGGCTAAAGGATTATATTCTTAATTCCTGAAGAGAGGAAGAATGTAGTACCATGTGTTAAAACCCATACATAACCCATACATATTTAGTTAGTAATGTTATCTATTCTTACAGACTCTTATGAGTATTATTGTGTATTCGGTATTGTTAAATTTAATAAAGCCTGTGTAATAAAGCACATGTTAAAATTAATAAAGCCTTACATTAATTCTAAAGGTTTTTTATTACAGTTTCACTTTCTTTTTTTTTTTTCGTTTATTTGATATAATTAGATATTTAAGCGCAAAAGCATACATAATAATAATAATAATTCGTGAAGAAATTCAATTGAACCAAACTATGAATGAAGATTTCTTGAGAGAGATTTTTGTCCAAAATTACAAATAATTTTTTTTTATGGAAAACTGCAAAAAAGGTGCAAAATTTTCCATTTTAGTGCAAAATTACAAAATAGATAAAAAAAAAAAAATCCTGTAGGAACTTGTATTTTAAACTACTACTCAAGATCAGGATAGATCATTTGAGATCTCAGTTTTCCTTTGAATAGAAAAAAAGGATAAATGTGGACCCTACTTATGATGAACTCTCAAGGGTACTAAATTTATTTTATGACAATCTATTGTTCTATTGTTTCCAAAATCACTCAGATGTTTGGGAAAACGTTTATGTCTGATATACAATTAAATTGTAGATTGTTGTAAACAGCAGTGAATATTATTATAAGTACCTTATTATATCATAAATTTGTTAGTTGCCGCTCGTTATTCACTGAGTACTGCATGTCTGATACCGCCATAACTGTAGCAATGTGCTGTATTCAAACTCCTTGGGGAATAAACAATCTAACATTTAAATGATATGTTAAGAAACAAAAAAGAGTTTTTATTTTGGCCATAAGTCAATTTTACATTATAAATAACTTTTAATTAATCATAGCTATTTTTCATTATTATATATTGAATTTTTTTGCATTGAATGGTTGGAAAAAATGAAATACAGAAATATATATACACACACATATATATATCGTGTATGTATGTATATATATAAATACATACATACACTCATACATATATTTTGTTTTATCTTGTGGCAGTATGATGGAACGTTTGCTGATCATTTGGAGATGTTTATTCAACTGGGATATGTTGTGCTCTTCTCTTCTGCATTTCCATTGGCTGCACTTTGTGCTTTGATAAACAACCTTGTTGAAATGAGAAGTGATGCTTTCAAATTATGTTTTATATTTCAGCGGCCGTTTGGTCAGAGAGTTCCTAATATAGGCACATGGCAGGTACATTATTCTTCCGAATGCTAAAAGTTATAATTAATTAAAATTTATATGAAAGGGTTGTAAAAAAGCTGTGTAGTTTTATGTCTATATGTCATAATTATTTTATTTGTTAATATATTGTAATAGAGCATGTAGAATAACTAATTATTTTAATGTGATAATATATTATAATAAAGTATGTAGAGTAGCTTTGGTTTTAGAATGTATTCAAACTACTGATAAGATAAAATCGAACTAAATATTTTATATAAATGGTGATAATAAAGTTTAATAATATTCTATATTACCAGAAAATATTCAAGACATAATATGAAATATATAGAAGATGAAATAATATTTTTTTCATTTTTTAAAAGTTTTTCATTTCGATTTCCAGTTCAACCATTATTAATTGGTAGCCTGAGAGTGAACTCTTGGAGTAATAAGTTGAAACATATATTTTTTTTCTTACTTTTTGTTTCTTATGCTTATCACATATTTGTCTCCCAGTTAAGATTTTAATATCACTAAATAACGTTGTGGTGACTTATAATTTACCAACGTTGCATAATTTACCAACAGACTCTTTATGTAAACATTTTAAGTATGCCCAATTTCAGCACACCTATAATAAAACTTGTTAATTTTTTTAATTCTCATGCATTATACTACCCATTAACAGAAGTTTTAATAACATTCTGAACCATACTTTATTGTATAATGTCTGTTAACGCCGCATATATTTTATCTTTCTTTTTTTTCATTATTATTTTTTCTCGCTCTTCAACCTTTTTGAATGTTCATTGAATAAATGTTTATTTATTTTATTTTTTTGTAAAAAACTGAGGGATAGTTGTCCCAGAACTTTAATTAATTGTATAATATTTATAAATTTAGCTTTATTCGCGAAGTATTATCGCGTTTGTGTATCCGCACCATCCTGATAGTAATACTGGCTCTTAATAAAGACACCAAAATATTGCGATAAGATTGCAGGGAGTCAGTCTGGAGCGAATATTGATAGACGCAGGATCTAGATATTTGGACATCTGATCTCCCCGACCCCACCTGTTGCTCCGGTTCAACTCACCTTGACTGAATGAATCATAAAACCTTTGGATACGCAGATGATATAGCTGTCCTTGGAAGTAATCAAGAGAACATTGAGAAACTCGCTTCGACTCTGATAAGAGAGACAGAGCAGATCGGCCTACAAGTAAATTAAAACAAAACAAAATATATGATAAAAAGCCAAAAATTCCACCCCAATAACAGGATCTGGGTAGAAGGAAAATCATCCCCGAGATTAGAAAAATTCAAATACCTCGGCTCCAAATAACCTCAATGAATGACCAATGAGCAGACATAGACCAGCGTATAAACTAGCGCAAACAGAGCTTTCTTCTTCCCTTCATAGGTATTGAAATCCTGAAAAAGCTCAAGAAATCTCAAATTAAGGGTGTGCAATGATATGATAATGCCAGTTCTAATATATGGCTGTGAGACCTGGAAACTAACTAACCCCTAGAAAAAAGTGTCAATAAATATCCCATGATATGAAGGCACGGAGGTTAAGATGGGCAGGGCATGTAATTCATAGCAATCCATCCGGAAGCCTCTACATAACAATGAATGCCTCAATAGAAGGCAAAAGACCACGGGGAAGGCCAAAATGCAGATGGATGGATAGAATAAAAAAAGATGCAATAGAGCTGCGTGCAGATAAATGGAAAGAAATACCCAAGACAGGCAGAGATGGAGCAGGCTTGTTAAGGCCGCAAAAGATCTACATGGTCTGTAGTGCCAAAAGGAAGAAAAAAAATAACACTTCCTTTTGGTGATAAGTAAAGTTGCAGCTCTTGTCCATGAGCACCCCAAGAACTTCACTTATTGAGTTGGTTTTATCATTACATCTCCCAACTTTAACCATTATTTTATTTTAAAAAAACAGGAGAAACTAGTTGCTGAAAACCTTGGAATAACTCTTAATGTGAAAAACTAATTTCATTGCCAGTGATTATGCATTTAGGAGAAAAGGCAGTAAAATTGTATTAGGCCTGTTCATGTTTGAATTATTATTTAAGTTTACTCACTTAGGCTCTCTGGTAGCCTGTAATAATTGCATAGAGGTGGAAATAAAAAGAAGATTAATGGTGATCAACCAATATTATTTCAGATAGCAACAACATCTAGGAAATAATCGCATATCCTTACTCTCCAAGATTATTACATACAAGATGTTGATCTGTCCAATATTCTCTTAAGTATCTGGAACATGGACACCTACCAAGGCCAAGGATCGTCAACTCCTTATTTTAAAAGAAAGGAAGGACTTTCATTGGATATGTATAGTTGTGATTAAAAATTTTAGGATCAGATTGCTTAAATAGATCAGTCATCTTGTTCATATAAAGATTAACCAATATTTTATTTAATTGAACAACAACGAATTAGATGGATATAGTACAAGGCTTTAACAGGTGGAGATTTTTGCTGGAGAAGTTGGAATACAATGTGCTTATAGTGCTATCTTATAATGGTAGTTATCATATTCTCATAATAAAAATTCAAATATCTCCACTGGAAGTATATCTTCAGTGGAAGTGGGAAGTATTTATATTATTAACAGCTATACATGTGTCATAATTTTGTACCAAATGGTTAGCTTTTGCTGGCACTGTCCAATTTTCTATAAATATAGTGCACAATTAGGCATTCTTACCTTTAATATCTATTTTATAAATTGTTTTTATTCAGTATATCAAAGCTTATATAAAAATTATTTATGGTTTCTGCGTTTTACAATCCACTAAATTATAATATAATTTTTGCAGGTCCTTATTAAAATAAGATTGCTTTAAAATTTTCAGAATGCAATGGAAGTTATGGGGTTAATAGCAGTACTGGTGAATTGTGCACTTATTGGACTATCAGGACATGTACATAGAATGTTTCCTGAAATGTCTACTACACAAACAATCTTGCTTATAGTCGCATTAGAGGTAGTGATAGATAATTGTAATTATGGGACTATTAATGTATTTTAATTTTTTTGTAACTTTTTATATTTCACTTAAAGCATGGTATGCTGCTTCTTCGCCTAATTGTAAAAGTAGCAATTCCAGATATTCCTGGATGGGTTGCTACAGAAATGGCCAAGGTGGAATTTGCTCGAAGAGAAGCAATGAGAAAATTCAGCAGTACTAGTGCACCACTTCCAAGCAGTGAAATCTTATCAACTGGGGAATCAAGTACAAAAGCAATTGGAAGGTAAATGAAATTCATTAAAAATTATCTTAATGTAAAATCAAGCAAATGAACATTCTTTTAAACATAAATAAAATGCATCTAATACTTTTTTAATTATTAAATCTGAGTCTCTAGTACCTAGTGTAGCCACCCTTTTTCTTGAATAAGGGTCTGTACTCTTGCATACTGCGAATAAGATGGTTACCCGATCTTGAATCAGATTCATTCAACGTACTTGGAGGGCAGTACTCATTTTCTGTCTAGGCAGCTTGTTCACGACAAAAGTGAATGCGAGCTTCTCAGTGTGCTGCGGTGAGTAGAGAGCCGGAAGCGGGACCCGTAGCTTTCAGGTTAAGTTCAGCAAGCCTTCTCCTTACTGTATACACGCTGACTTCCGTACCCCAAGCAATATGCAATCGATGAGAAGTCTCAACTGAAATGTGATAGTGGTTTATGAGGGTCTGCATAGCAATGAAATGGTTATCACCTGGACCTGTCGCTCTTGGATGGCCTCATCACGGCCTCCTATTGGAACTTCCTGCCTTCCAGTACCTCTGGACATCCCACTGAATAGTTTTTCAGTCACTATGGACTTAAGCCGCTTATCACTGACTTCGACTGTTTTCAAATTAACGCAATAATCTGAGGGACTATCACGGGATCGAAATCATTTTACACTCTTAAAAATGTTTGATAAAAATATTGTTTTAAAAAAACGCAAAAGCAAAACCAATGCGATTGAATAGGGGACTGGAGACAAACTGATTTGAGGTCCACGTTTTATTTTTATACTTTTATCGTTAATCCTAGAGGGAATCGTGAGATTTTCTCGAAAGAATTAATGCAAGGTAATCCCTTGCAGGCAGCCCTTTGATCTGCCATATACCTGTTATTACTTCAAGCTCAAAAATATTTCTTTAATATGAGGTTTTTATGTAAAATTGAAGATACACCGGTTTTTTGACCTCCAGTTTAGAATCATTTATTTTGTGGTGGACAGAAATGGTTAATGATATGTCTACTTCTTGAGGCATCTTATTAAGCCCGAGGAATTTAAAATCCACTCTGCACCGGGATGCGAACTCGCACTTTTTAATCTCTCATAACATCGGTTATCTGGTTGCAGGGGAACTTGTGGTGCTGTGCACACATGTTAGCCCATTCGGCCACCCCGCTCCCTCGTACTGACCATACTGACAGTAGAGCACATGCCGGTACTGCAGTCATTGTACACCAATCCCTCTCTCATCACCTACTCCAATTACCTAATCACGATTTCGTGTATCCACCAAATGCCGTTCGCAGCTTTTCTCCAAAACTACTGAGCATATTGTTTGGAGATTTGATATCAAAGTGATGGGTCACCAGAGCTTGATTCTCAGAATTTTTAATTTCACTTATGTTTTGTATAAAAAAAAATAAAATAAACAAAAAGCCCAAAAATTCAATACTGAATTCACTACCTGTTTCAAGTGCTTCATATATTATATTATTTGGTTATAATATACCTTTTTCTTTAATTTATAACGTTTGTTTTCCAATAACTGTAATTTGTAATATTTTTTTCAATAATTTCTTAATTATTCAGCCCAATAAATTTAAATATTTGGCATTCTATGTTCCTTGAATAAATTAATTTAAAATATAAAATATTGAAATAAAATTAAACCTACCCGCTTGTTGATTACTTAAGAAAAAAATAAACTTAAATAAAAATTTAGAACAGAATTTCGCCCATTGAGAATTGTTAGGAAAATAAAATTATTGTATATTTATAAAATAAATTAATATTTATAATAAGGGTCATACTTGGAATCCAATTTATAAAGGAGGGCTCATGCTAAATTTTATATAATATGAACGTTAAATATATATGCGCGCGTGTGTGTGTGTATTTTTTTAATACACGACTCTTTATTATACCTACTGGCCCACTGATCCTATCCGCAACCCCGATATCCTTGATTTCTTCATCCACAGTGGTTGAGGTCCTCTCAACTATTCCATTGCACGTCTTAATGGACTTTCCTCAGCCACAGTCCATTAATATTCCAAGGATCACTAGCTCCTATTCTTAAACCCTCTCCACCGTCCTTCATCAGAGGCAAACAACTGGAAACTCATCCATAAAATCCTTTCTGATCAAATTGACCTCAGAATAACTCTGAATACTCCAGAAGACCTTGATAATGCCGTATATTCCTTTACCTCCACTATTTAACAAGCAGTCTGGACTGCTTCCTCTCCTAATCATTCCCCAAGAATTCTAAAGAAAAATAAATTACCTCAACACATCCTCGACCTAATCAAAACTAAACACTGTGCCAGATTGTTATGGAAACGTACCAGACATCCCACCAACCACCACTCCTATAATTAATTATTACTGTAAACAACTTAAGCAAGAATTATCCTACTTCAAATCCCACTCCTTTAACTCTTACCTTGCCTTCCTCTCTTCTCACGATAATTCCCTCAGGAACATCACCAAAAAAATCCTAAAATCCCATATTTCCCATCCCCTCCATCGAGGTGATGGCTCCTGGGCGGTGTCTGATAAAGACAAAGCTGAAGAACTTGCCAAAAACTTCTCCTGTACATTTACTCCTTTACATTTACATCCTGAATCCCATCCCACCCATATGCAAAAGTAGAAGAATTTCTCTCCTCACCAATTCCACTCTCTTTACCACGAAAAGCAGTTCATCCTTCTCAGATCAAATATTATTTACAAAAACACTTCTCGTAAATCTCCTAACCCCACAGATCCTTCATCAACTACCACCCAAAGCTATCATGTTATAGACTAATCAGCCTACTCCCAATCCTTTCGAAAATTTTTGAAAAAACTCTACCCATAATAGAATCCCAAAACCTTCCTACCCATCATTACACTTAGGATTTGGTTTCCAACATTACACTGTTCGGCAATGACTCCGAGTTGTTGACCACATATCATCAGCCCAAGAAAGCAAAGAGTATTGCTCGGGAGTATTCCTAGACACTGTGCAAGCTTTTGACCGCTAATGGCGCATCAGACTGCTCTTCAAGCTTAAAGCTCATTTGCCCCAGTCCTTATATCTAATACTCCGATAATGACCGTTCCTTTCAAGTTCACTGTGGTACAGAACCCTCCAACTGTCATTCAATCGAGGCGGTAGTTCCTCAAGGCAGCATCTTGGGTTCCGTCCTCTACATTCTGTTGACCGCTGATATTCCTGCTCATCCCGAACCCCTCCTGGCAACATTTGCTGATGACAGTCATTCTATTTTCCAATTCAGAACCTGAAACAGCATCCTTAAAACTACAAAGTCACCTTTCTCTTATTGAACAGTGGCATAAATAAGCAGTGCATCCAAGTAAACGAATCCAAATCCAAACATATCACTTTTACCCTTTGGCGCAAGTCCTGGCCACCAGTCTATTTCAATTCCATACCAATTTATACCACTTCCTCTCTCTGACATAGTCTGGTATCTTGGCTTTCTTTTAGATAAAAGATTAACGTGGAACCGTCATACCAGACTTTAAAGGCAACAACTTAACAGACGATATGGACAGCTATATAGACTATTAAATAGAAAGTCTCAACTTACAGTCGACAACAAACTACTAATCTACAAGACAATCCTGAAACCTATCTGGACCTACAGAGTAGAACTGTAGTGGACAGCAAAACTTTCTAACATCAAACGCATTCCGTCCTTCCAGTCTAAAGTCCTCCAAACAATAGTCGATGCTCCCTTCTATGTAACCAATAAAACCCTCCATAATGACGTTCATATCCCATTTGTTCTTGACCTTATTCCAGACAAATTTTCCAATTTTACCAGAACCTCACTCATCATCCAAATCCTGTAACACAGTCCCTATGTAGCTCCAGTCATCAATCCTCCCCATAGGTTAAAACAGCAGTGCCACCATGACCTTTTGTAAATATGTATATATTGGAGTTGTGGCAATGGCTAGATTCTCCACTCAGGTGTTGAGCGTCTGTTGCTCTAGTGTCCTCTAGTTCCCACTGGTATCCAATACCAGTGACACGGCTGGGAGGAAAGCTCTGGCAAAAAAAAACATGACTCAGAGTCCCCTGGGCGAATGTAATCATTGTACATAGGTGTGAATGTGTTTTATCTATTTTAGTTTCTCTCTATTATTTCACTTTTTTGTACATATGTATATTAATTTTACTTTCTATGTTTCTTTTTCTTTACGATCTCTATTTTAGTTATTATTTGTATGTACATATTGTGTGAATGATTAATGTAGTCTTAATATTAATGCCCTTCAATGTGGCAGAATGTATCAATATTCAATTAATAAAAAAAAAAATTACTTGTAAGATTACAACTTTTTATCACAAAATTATTATGAAAGGGACCCTATTACTTGCTTCTTGTTCAGAGATTTTTGGCCATTATAAAATTTTAGAAAAATAATCAACCTGTACATTGTTAAACCTAATAAAATTAAATGTGACCTATTAATGACAAAAGTGGTTTAAAACTTAGAAAGTTAGGGGAAAAAAATGATGAAGTGTTATAGATACACAGAAATTCATTACTAAAGATATTAAAAAGATGATTACACTGTATAATTATAAAATCCTAAATACCAATGTTTTTTGTTTTTGTGTGTGGTTCTTGATTAGTTACTATTTTTAATAGGTAGATCGCAGTAATACCCAGTTCTGGTAGTGTATGTATGTGTATGTAGCTATACCATTACCTAAACAAGTATACCTGAGGCTCATTCATTGCCAGGCCATCATACTGGTTTGAACATAGTAAAAAACTTATAGAATATAATAATAACCTAAAATAAAATGTATGCAAGTAAACATTTATAACCTTTTTCAAAATAAATGATTTCATAATTTTCAGATTTGTTGTGACACCCTTACCTAATATTGAAGAAAAGAGTTTTAAAAAAGTATCTAATAATGATATCAAACAAATTAATGATAATGAACGTAATGAAAGTAATTCAGAACCAAGCTTACCACCTACTGTTCGAAAGCCTAAACTGCCTAGTAACTGGAGACAACCATTATCTCATCACATGACTGTTGGCCCTCATGCATCCATTGATTGGGTATGTTTACTGTTTAGTTATTTTTTATTGTTTTTGATATTAATTGTTTATAATTTTATATACAGTTATCAATGAAATGTTTCTAGTAATGAAGAAGCAATGTTTTATTATATAATTCTGGAATTTTATATTTTTTTTTAGCAATATAATGCATATAATCTTTTTATGTGTATCTTTATTTGTTTGAACATAACTATTACTCCTCAAATATTATGTATTTTTGTCTAATGCTTCAATGAATCACTTTATTATAATTACAACTAAAAAATGAGGAGGGATATGCGTTTAAAAAAGTTTTCCTTATATATTATTATATCTAACTATTTTACTAATTATTAAATCAACAATAAGTTTTTTATAGTAAAAAACAATGTGTTTTGCTTTTAAACTTATAGGTTAGGCATAATAAGCCAAAAGAGGATGTAGAGGTGGATTAACGATTACAAAGCTGGAAATGGTTTTAATTTCATTTGTCTGCAGAAAGATTTTGTATTAAATTTCTGCTTATGCTGAATGAGGGATGTCCCGAAAACCTCAAATATTTCGGATTTTTTTCACAAATAATTCATAAATTTCAAATAATTTTCTAGTAAAATTTTTTTCTTTTATGAATTATAGAGTATAAATATAAAATTTCCAAATTTATATTTTTATTTTATTAAGAAATAATATATTTTCATTTTTATAAATTAAGGCTGTATTTCATTAACATTTTATTTCTTTTTTATTTTATCTTGACAATATTTAGGCCAACACTAGGGCCTTTATTCAGGTCTGAAAATGTTTTTCATTATTAGATTACAATTTAATTACATTTACAATTAAATTTTAATCTAATAATGACTAAAATTTCCAGACTTGAAAATGGCTCTAGTGTTGGTCTAAAAGTTGTCAAGATAAAATAAAAAGGAAATAAAATGTTGGTGGAATAAAGCCTTAATTTATAAAAATGAAAACTTTAAAATTAGGAATAATGAACAGAATAAAAAAATAATATATTTTGCCACACTTAAGTATTAGAGCTATGTGAGACTCATTCATACCCATATAACAAGAAATTAAGTCAGTGATTAAGCTAAATATTTCAATGGTTGGGATTATATTCAATCTCCTGCAAAAAAAGAAAAGAAATTCGGAAGAGGAAGTGGCGGTATAGCGAACATTTACCACCCCGTCATTTTCAAACTGTCTGTCTCCAATAATGATTGGTGAAAAGTGGTTATTTGTCAAGATAAAGATTTATCAGTCCATCTTATGTTTTATTGTTGCATAAGTTTTTAAAGTATAATTTGAATCAAGAAAACGTAATGGACCCATTATTAAAAAAGACGCTTTATAAAACCAACAAAAATGCAAATACTTTAATGCTAATTACCGGAGACCTTAACTGTTATGTCGACTATTTAAATCAATATGATAAAAAACGTTTAAACGATATTAACCTGTTCAGTGAAAGATTAAGTCTTGATGAAATAGTTAATAGGCGAGGCAGAATTATCACAGTGTCAGTGGGACAGCAGGAATTCGATATACTATATGTCAGAACTTAGAGGTTGCCTCAGCCAGTTCACCTGTATAAAGTATAATGGACAGAGCACAGTTGACCTGGCTTGGTGCAACTACAATAATGTGAATGATATCTTAGATTTATCAGTTTTAAGTAGTTTCATTTCCAATTTGGACTATTTTCTTTAAATGTAAATTTTAAGGCCTGAATTATATTTTTATTAATGTAACTATAAGTTGTAAGTTAACCCAGTTAAACCAATTAATTATAATTTTAAATTAACCCAGAGTTATATTTGATGGATAGAAATAACAATATTTTAAAGTAGAGATTTGTTGAGATATTTATTGCTGCATCGTTTGGGAGCGAGCTTCATTTTTTAGAAAAAATAAGGAAAAGAAGAGCCAGCTATAAACATTTAGCCTCACTTCTCGTCTAGGTGTCACGGCGCACAGTGGGAAGAAAGGCAGGTTTTCATGGACACAGGCCTAAAACTTGTAAATGATGTCGGATTAACTTGATATTTAGTACCCATATGTTTTCAAGGCCAAGGAACTCGAATATGACGTTAAAATTAGAAAAAAATCACGAAAAACACAGAACATTTTGGCGTCATTGTTTAAACCTGGGACTTTTTAAATTTGACAATAAATTTTGTTTTTTTTTTGTTTTATTAATTGAAAATTAATACATTCTGCCACATTGGAGGGCATTAATACTAGAACTACATTAATCATTCACACAATGTGTACAAACAAATAATAACTAAAATAGAGATAATAAAGAAAAAGAAATATTTTATTTATTTAGAAATATAATAATCTGTCACGTGGACAATAATTATAGTGAGATATGAACACATTCACACCAAAAAAAAAAAGAAATATAGAAAATAAAATAAGGAAATTAATATAGATATGTACAAAAAAAATGAAATAATACATAGAAACTAAATAAAATTAAATTAGATATAAAACACATTCACACCTATGTACAATATTTCACCCAGGGGACTCAGTCATGGTTTGTCCCGCAAATATGGATGACAAAGCAGTACTCCAGGAGATCCCAGTGCTTCTCTCCCAGCAGCGTCATTGGTATTGGAAGCCAATAGAGAATGATGGAGTGCACTAGAGCATACAATAAATTAACTTCAAAAATGATAAAGCCTTCTTGAAACACATCATTTTAGATACCTATTTAGAACTAGTGCCTATATTACTACATATAATCGTTATTTTAATTTTGTTTTTAATTTAATAACACAAAATATAGCTATGATATATTTAATTTATATATTATCACTAAAAAATGTAGTGTAAAAATGTATCGTTTATCAATTATAAATATTCATTTTACAATAATTCTTATGGAATAATAAACATTTTATTTTATCACAATAAAATTTTAAACACCATCGAAAGTTCTTCACATTCTCTTATCAAATAGATAATTCTGTATTTTAATTTTTAAAATTATATAAAGAATAACTGATACAGATCAAGTCATAAAGGTTCAGCCATGTACTCTGAGATTCAATTTACCTTTATGAAATTATAACAACATTTAAAAATAATAAGGGTTAGAGATTGAAAATATTATATTTTATAACTAATAGCCAGTAATGTTAGTGGAAAAAGTAAATAAAAATTTCCTTGAGGCGTCTTATATGGGTACCCATTGAACCACCTTTTATTTAATTTTAAACTTCAGTTCATTTAACTTTGTTGTGTTTGTTTATTTATTTAGATTAAAGCAAAAAGTAATGATGGTTTTTTACAGTTAAAAGAATAAAATAAATGTTTATTTCTTATCTAGTTAAACAAAATTAAAATTTTAAAACATTAAAAACGAAGATATAATATTTAATGTAATTTTTTTTCTACGGACTTAATGCAGTAAGTGGGTCTATTGGTCCTTCTTGCCAACCCCAAAGACAATACTACCAATGGTTGTCTATTATACCTCCAACTCTGTCTCAAACCTTTTTGTTCTTCTAATGAAGTTCAAAAGGATGGACCATTTTATGGAGGTAGCTTCACGTACTTGTATTTTGTCTGCGTCCAGACGCAAATCGGTGACGTTCTGTAATGAAGTGAAGGGCAGTTTCTGGTGCATTTCTGCACAGATTGCAGAGTTCATCATCAGATCTTTAAATGTCTTTTAAGTCTGCAGTGGCCTGTTAGTACTCCGATGATGAGTCGGATTTCTTTTTTTAGTTAGGCCCAGCAGCCACTTAGTTTTGGAGGGAGAGGGCGATTTGATAAATTGTTTGGCTTCTCTAAGCCCATAGGATCCCTCTATTCTTTACCTTCTCTTTTCCAAGTAAAATCAAGGACTTCTTTCCACTGTTTTTTGGATATTCCTATTGCAGGTTCTGGACCTACAATTGGAAATTCAGAAGTATCCTTGTGAGGTCATCGGCTTTTTCATTACCTTTACTTCCCTTGTGACCAGGAATCCACACTAGTTCCACTCTCTTAGAGCAGGCCAGTGTCTCCTGTGTTTATACTCCTGTACCAGTGTGGAGGTTACTTTGGGGGATTCCAATGCAGTAGTGCCTTCTGACTATCGGAATAGATAGTGATGCCAGCATTCTCGCAATTAATAACTTCTAGACAGGTGGCTGCAAAAATTATAGCAAACACCTCCGTTTGAAATACTGTAGCATGTTTACCTGATGGTATGCTTAATTCTATATTTAGGTTCTCTATATATACTCCTACACCCGTTATACTAGTTGAGTCTTTCCTCGACCCATCAGTAAAACTGGCAGGTAGTCAATTTGAGTTTCTACTTAATCCTGTGCCCGATCTGTTACGTTAGGGTACAGATAGCTAACCTTACTGTCTAAAGTAAGGTTTTTACCAAGCGGCAGATTAAGGTACCATAAGATAAGTAACTCTTTTTCCACCATCCTGGCTATTTCTAAGTGGCCGCTGTTTGTTCCTGTTACTTGCCACTGTCTATTATCCTTTATTCTTAAAAATGCCATAGCCGCCTCACCTATTATCCGTAGGTGCAGTGGAATCAATGATAATAAGACTTCCAGGGCCTTTGTAGGTGTTTTGCGGAATGTCCAAGTAATGCTAATGCAGGCCATTCTTTTTATGTGACATAACGTTCGCATATGAGTGGCCTTATTTAGAGCTACCCACCACACCACGCTTCCATATCGTATTCTAGGTCTAATTATTGCTGTGTATATCCAATGCATAACTTTAAGGTTAAAACCCCAAGTTATGCCAACAGCACTTCTTACTTACTAAAAGGCTATTATAGTTTTCCTTTTAACCTCTGCCAAATGTGGTCCCCAGTTTAGAATCTATTGTAATACCAAGATATTTGACATTCTGCCTTAATTGAAGTTGCTTACCAAAGAATTTTGGAACCTTAAAGGCATACAGTTTACGTTTTTTGGTAAAGAAAATCAACTCAGTCTTTAATGGCTTAACTGATAAGTTCATATCAGTACACCATGTATGAACAATGTTGTATGCGACTTGGATCCGTTCAAAAATTGTATTCATCCCTGGTATTATTTATCGCTCATTACTTTATTAGCAATTACTTTATCACCACAATGTCAGTTACTATACGGGTATCAGTTATTATTGTTTTTATTTTTATCTTTATTATTATTTGTGTTTTTATTTTTATCTTTATTATTATTTGTGTTTTTATTTTTATCTTTATTATTATTTGTGTTTTTGTTTGTATTTTTATTTTTATCTTTATTATTATTTGTGTTTTTGTTTGTGTTTTTATTTTTATCTTTATTATTATTTCTGTTTTTGTTTGTGTTCATATTTGATATTTGTCAGTTTTTATGTAGTTGTAACACAGCCGCAGATAACCTAGGGGTTCCTGTGCATGTTACTACAATAAAGCAGAGATCTCTGCCGAGGTACTAACAGAAGGTTGACCGACTTTAAGAAGATTTACATTATTCCTTATATTGCTATCTTTTTGTTATAATAATGTAAATACTGCTTAATTTTAAACATTATTTATTTTTATTGGTCAGTTTTTATTTAGTTGTAACACAGCTGCAGATAACCTAGGAGTATCCTGTGTATACTACTACAATAAAGCAGGGATCTCTGCTGATGCACTAACAGAAGGTTGACCGACTTTAAGAAGATTTACATTATTCCTTATATTGCTATCTTTTTGTTTTTGTCAGTTTTTATTTAGTTGTAACACAGCTGCAGATAACCTAGGGGTGTCCTGTGTATACTACTACAATAAAGCAGGGATCTCTGCTGATGCACTAACAGAGGGTTGACCGACTTTAAGATTTACATTATTCCTTATATTACTATCTTTTTGTTATAATCATGTAAATACTGCTTAATTGTAAACATTATTTATAAATTTAACAGAACGAGATGTTCTGAATGAACTTAAAATAAGTATTCTTTTAAAATGCCTCTCGGTGACCACATTAAAGATTTCTTTTTTATTTCTGTGCAGGAAAATGTTTATAGATTAAATTCATAATATATATTGATATTGTAAATATCATTGGAATTTTAGGTCCATAGATTAAATTTTGAAAGCTCTAGAAAAACCAGTGAACCAGATATGGGAGGATCTGGTTTAATTCATCGCAGTATTGACTGTCTTGCTTCAAAAATGGAAACATCATCAGATTCAGATTTGCTGAGATCAACTACTGCTCCCTGGCAAAGAGAGAGATTTCAGTTACCAGTGAGTATAATGGTAAAAACTGTTATTTCTACTTATGAACGATTGTCAAACAACGGTGGCACTGGGACTCGATAACTTGTTTAATAAAATTATTAAACTAATTAAATATTAAAGTAATAATTTCTGGACAGTATTGACTGCTTAAAAGAAATTTTGATTCTTTTAAAATTGATATTAGTAGAGACTAAATTTTCATAAAATTCCATATTATTTTTTTTCCAGGTTCAAATTCAACCATAACATGACTGAAATTCAAATCATGAATTGGACAGTCTATTGATACTAGTTTTATTTTGCATGTAATTGCACGACTTGAGGTTACTGCACGAGTTTGCATTTTTTTGTACAAATATCGTTTAATTTTTAAAGTTTTAAGTATGAAATCACAGTTCTCAAAATTTCCAATAAAATCACAGGTTTCAAAACTTATCAGTAATTCATGAGAAAAAATAAACAAAACAATCAAATGGGTAATAATGTCAAGAAATGAAGGATTGCTTTTCAGTTAAATAATTTATCATAGAAGTTCAATTATTTCTATCTTGGCCAAAAGCTTCAGTTTGACCAGGAAATTGCTATAAATTTTTGGCCAAAACTTTGGTATGTGATCAAGTTTTACTAGTTATTAGAGACCGATATAAGGTCCATAAAATAAAATTTTATCAAAATACAACTGTGTATACAAAAGTTGAGAAAATTGTGAAGTAGATATTGCACCAAATGTTTTAAGCTCATACAATCAATGTCCAATTAAAAGAGTGGAGGTAAAAATCATATTTTCTCTATCAAAACATAAATTAGATGATGGGAGGTATAACAGAGTGATATGGTTACTGAAAATTATTAGTTATATTTTTCCCTGCATGTTAATAAAAAGAATTGAGATTCTTCAACCCGAAAGTATATATATATATTTATATATATATATATATTTGGTGGTGTCGGCATCGAACCTTCGGGTTCGCTAAGCCTTTTTATTTTTATTTTTTTTTATATATATATTAGGAATCGACCGATATCGAAATTTCGGCCGATACCCGTATTATAAAGGCAGATATGGCCGATATATTGGCCATATTGGCCTATTTTTCTTTTTTCTGTCAAGATTTGTACAGTTTCACATGGAATACCCTACTTATTGCTAAATAAAAGAATAAATAGACCATCTACGCATCGGCCTATGCACAAGTTTTGACCAATAAAAGATATTGGTGAAAGAAATTTATTTATATCGGCCTTATTTTCACTTTTCTGTCAAGATTTGTACAGTTTAACATGGAATATCCCACTTATTACTAAATAAAAGCATAAATAGAAAATCTACACATCGCCCTACACAAATTTCAACCATTAAAATATATTGGTCGAAAGAAATTTATCGCCCTTTTTTTTCGCTTTTCTGTCAATATTTGTATAGTTTCACATGGAATACGCTACTTATTGCTAAATAAAAGAGTAAATAGACCATATACGCATCGGCCTATGCACAAGTTTTGACTGATAAAAGATATTAGTAGAAAGAAATTTATTTGTATCGGCCATTTTTTCGCTTTTTCGTCAAGATTTGTACAAGTTCACATGGAATATCCTACTTATTGCTAAATAAAAGAATAAATAGAACATCTACGCATCGGCCTGTACATAAATTTCGACCAATAAATGATATATAAACTTATATTTCAGTATATCAGTCATTCGTTTCTATAGGTCTAGTTTAGTACAACATCGCATTGAAAATTCTCATAATTGCTGGACGTAAGTATCATTTAATCATAATGATATATCGGCCTGATGACTTCATTTTATCAAAATTATTACAGTTAGACCATTTTTTAAAATTTATTTATATATTTTTTTATTGCATAAGATCATAAGGTCGTTATTTCGGTCTTTACTCATATTATGTTTATGTTCATCGCTTGATAATTGATTGACGAATTTATTAGCAATAAAAAAAGAATATTCAAGGAGAAATTCTTAGAATCTCGATTAAATAAGGTCTTAAGGCCGATATATTGGTCTTTACTCAAATTTATGCTTATGAAGATACATTGACGATTGATTTGCGTATTTATTAGCAATAAAAATAATATTCAAAGTAAAATTATTAGAATCTCGACAAAATAAGATCGTAATGGCGATATATTGGTCTTTATGATATCGGTATTTGCCCAAATTAGGGGAAGGAGAGGGCAAGAAAAAAAAAATTAAATAAAGATTTGACAACCTCTACCAATCTCAACAAAATAAGGTTTTATGGCCGATACGTCGATCTTTGCTTATATTTATGTTTATATTGATCCCTTGACGCATTGTTTAGTAATAAAAATAATATTCAAAGTGAAATTCTTATAATCTCGATAAAATAAGATCATATGGCCGATCATATATGGCCGATGTATTGGTCTTTGGAATATCGGCATTTGACCAAAGTAATGGAAGGGGAAAACAAGATAAAAAAAAATTAAATAAAAAATTTTCTAACGCTTATCAATCTTTATAAAATATGGTTGTAGGTCTGATATATCGGTCTTTAGAATATCGGTACCTACTGAAAATCAGGAGAGAGGGTGAGGAAAAAAAGGCCGTTATATCGGCATATCGGCATATCGGCGTTCGATATCGGCCGATGCCTATAATCGGCCAAACTGCCGATTAATATCGGTATCGGTCGATCTCTAATATATATATATATATATATATATATATATATATATATATATATATATATGTTACCGTGAAAGAACGAAATTGGAGAATGTCGACTTTCACCGGTGAATATCAACACATACCACATACGTCGGTGAAAGATCGAATATTTCATTACATTCTTGTACATTCGGACCATCACAGGTTTATGGCGACAATCAGATGTACTCTGGTGGAGGTCCAAAAGAGATGAGCCGACAAAGAGGCGACTGGTTCTCTCCCGCCAAATCCTTTGCTCTGTTGGGAATCAGTCAGCTTTGTCAGTCTTATGCAAGATTTGATGACGCAAGCAACATTTTCTTAATCTTTTTTCCGATACCGTAATTTATACTGAATGAATACTGCAGTAAATCGTTATATTTTTCTTGAAAAGTTAGTTGCATTAATTGCGGGTAAAAACGAGAAGACAATAGTTTTTATTTTTCTTAAGAAAAGTACTCTGAAATACTTTCTGAAGTGGTTTTTGCCAAACCTAAGTGCAACAAGGGGCTTCAGCCTGAAAGCTCCTCTCCCCCTTAGATTCGCCTGTGTGAAGTTCTAATGTTGTATTTAAATTTATGCAAACAGTGTCAAATGAAACACACCTAAGAAAGATATTGTGAATCCAATGATCGATTCTGAGTTTAACTCAAGCTGATCTGATAGATCTGCAGTCAAACAGAGATGGCGAATATAAGTTCATAATGGTGTATCAAGATCATTTAACTAAATTTGACCAGCTAAGACCTTTGAATATTAAAAAAGCTGAAGAAGTAGCGTATCACGTTCTTTCAATATTTTTAACGGTCATTCAATATTCGGCAATATTGTATCAGATAATGGTAAAGAATTCAATAATCAAGTCGTATCTGAAATATGCGCCGTAAAGTAATTTTTTTATTACTATTATTTTATTTTCTCATTTAGAATGTACTGTGTGTTTTAAATTCTTGGTCACTCCTCAGAAAGAGAGGTGAAAAAGCTACGCCACCCTTGTGACGTTTTATAGCGACTGAATTACAGAGAATAAAATATAAATCTTAGACATGTTCAACATTCACCATTAGTGCACGGTGATGTGATTTACCGGTGTAAGTCAGAAATAAGGATATTCACCAAATATTTCGGACATACACCAAGTGACTATTTGAATGTTGAAATTCACCGGCGAATGTCGACATTCTCCAGAAATTCTCGGTCCTTCTAGGTAACACTCACAAACACACATACACAAATATTTATATACAGGGTGTCCCGTAAGTAAAGGGAATTCTTTAAAAGATTGATAGTAGACATCAAATTCTACAAGAAAGTTCATATAAACCATTACCCAATTTCGAGCAGAAAAGTGGAAATTGAAGATTTGTGTATTTTTAAGGGAGTCACGTTTTTTGTTGAATAGGAAGCGATTTTAAATTAAGATTAACTTTTAAAAATATTTAATTTAAGTAATTAAACAAGGCAAAATAAACTGGACAAAATTTACTTTAAATGAGTCATAAATTATTTGTGACTTTTTTTTTATCACTCTTCAACTGTACTACATTTACCCCACTTTTACAAACACTTCCTCGTTTAATAAGGTTTAATACCATATTAATTAAGTTTAGGTTTATTAGGAAAACATTTGAGATTCACCTCAAGTTGTGTGAAGCACTAGCGGATCCAGGATTTAATTTTGGGGAGAGGGGCTTCAGCTCGAAAGCCCCCCCCCCTATAGATCCGCCCGTGGTGTGAAGAAATGATGTGATTTCCTATCCAGTCACTTTAAAGTACCCATGTTTTCTGTAAAGATGACTTCAATTAGCTGTTGCATCATCATCATGATATTCTCTCCTCTAGTACCGCCTATGCAGTGTGAGGAGGAAGTCTATAGAGCTTTCTCCAGCTCTGTGGGTCTGCCACCAAACGCCTTCTCTCATTTCATTGGAATCCTCTTTTCAGAAAATCCTTCTTTACTTCGTCATCCCATTTATTTCTTGGTTGACCTTTTCTATCTTCCTGTCAACCTTGGCTTGGTAGACCTGTCTAGCAATTCTGCTGGGTTCTTAGGAGATGTCCCAGCCAACTCCGAATAGCGGCATCCATAACTAAATTGAACAGTAGTGGACTCAAGCTACAACCCTGCCGAATTCCTATCGTGGTTTCAATTTCTTGAGATGTGCAGTTGGCAAACCTTACAATGCTTCTTGTTTTCTTGTACAAACTTCCCACCGCCAATATAAATCCTTATCTCTTAAGGCCTCTGAGATATCCGTCTTCCTTACTCGGCCAAAGGCTTTTGTAAGGTCAACAAAACATACTGCAAGTTCCTTATCTTTTTCCAACACTTTGTCAAAGATCTGTCTCATGGTAAAAATAAGGTCTTGGGTGCTGCAATTTTTTTAAAAATCCATTCTGTTCTTCTTCTAGCAACCTTTCGACTCTTCCTCTTATTCTCTTCTCCAGGATCTTGGAATATATTTTGCTTGGTACGTTTAGGAGGGATATTCCACGGTGGTTGTTGCAATTTCTGTTATCTTCTTTCTTGAAGATTGGAATGATGACAGCTACTTCCCAATCTTTCGGTATTTTCTTCTCCTTCCACACCAGATTCAAGAGGTACAACATCATTTCTTTTCCTTTTAGTCCTATATATTTCAGCATTTCGGGAGTTATTTCGTCCTTACCTGCGGATTTCCTAGCTTCATACTCTGTAGCGCTTCCCCCCTAATTCGTCTTCGTCGATAAAACCATCCTCTTCCCAGGTATTTCCTTGGTTCTGTTCTTCATTTACATGGGTTGGGTTTCTATTCTCTTCCAACAAATTTTGGAAATATTCTCTCCATCTTTCCATTATTTGGCGACTCTGCCTGAGAATATTACCCTCCTTGTCCTTGATGAACTTAAATATGGGCGCTCTTTTTTTTCTTAATCCCTTGAGTACAACTTTTGATTTTTGTGGAAATCAGATTCCAATTTTCGTCCGAAATCCGTCCATGCTATCCTCTTGGCTTCTATGACCTTGTTCTTAGCCTCGAGTATTTTCCTCTTGTACCACTCGAAGTTTTCCAACGTTTTGTGCTCAAGGTGTTCTTTCCAAAGAGTTTTCTGCTCTCCAATAATTTTTTGCCACTTCATCGGACCACCATGCTGTTCTCTTATATTGGACTCAATTCATTTTTTTCCACAAGCTACACTTGCCGCGTCCAATATAATTTTTTTAAAATTAAACCAGCATATTTCTAAGTCGTCCGAGTCCCATGGGTAGTCCATTTCTCTGGCCTCCTTTCAATTACTTGCTGGTAGCAGATAGCAATTTCATTCTCTATTTTTAATCTGTGCGCTTTTGTCGCTTTTTTTTCGAATCTTTCTTACACCCCTCTTGATTCTTCTTTCACCATTCCATTCCAAATCCAACTTAAGTAGGTAGTGGTCACCAGTGGCGGATCCAGGAATTTTCTCAGGGCAGGGCGCCCCTCTATCGCGTGCTTCCCCCACCCTTACCTGTTCTCCCACCACTACCCATCTTCCCCACTCCTTAGCCGAGTCGCTCAAAAGTCCTCTTTAAATATTTTTACAAAAGCAAACTATTCTTATTTAAAGTAAATTTTGTCCAATTTACAGTGAAGCTGTCATTAATTACTTAAATGAAATAGGCTTTTTGTTATCACTTACTATTCAACAAAAAACGTGACATAAAAAATCACAAAACTTTAGTTCCCTACTTTCCTAATAGAAATCGAACCACATAGTAGGAGTATTTTTTCACCATTATCGTTTTCGCATTTTCTCCATGAACACCTAAAACATTCAGCCATAAGTGGGAATCTCTTCCAAATCTCCAACGATAATTGGTTCTCCTCTTACATCATCTATCTCTCTCTGAATGCTGTCAAAGAACTTCTCTTTCTCAGTTGCAATGGTGTTGTCGTTAGGCCCGTAAGCTACGATGATGATCTTCAGGACGTTTCCTTCTTCTAAGTCAACTGTCATCAGGCGGTCGCTTACAAATTTTATTCATTGACCGCAGTATTCATTAAGTTTTCCTTAAACATAAAACCTACGCCTCTGCTGGCTATTCTGTTTACAGTGATCTCTGAATAGAGCAGAATATGGTCACCAACTCTTTCTTCTACCTTTCCTTTTCTCTTAATCTCAGTTATAGCTAGGAAGTCTACCTTTGCCTTCTTTTTCTCCTCCATCAACTTATACTCCTTCCCCCTCAGTTCTCGAACATTCCGAGTAGTCAGTCGCAAAATCCTTTTTCCTCACCATGTCAAATTCCATAAGAGCTGTCCGGCTGTATATCTTCCGTTGCACGTGATAATTAAAAATTCGGACGAGCAGGTTATCGGCCTGTCCAGTCCTAGTACGGTTGGGGGGCTGCCCCTCAGGGTAACCGAACATACCCTTTCTACTCGGAAAAAACTCCTAGGGAAAGTTGCCCGAGGGTGTGTACTGTAGTTGACCTTATATCAAGTATAAGTGTTAAGTGTACTGTTCTGGGGAGTGTGCATGGTGTACTGAATAGTGGTAATCCGTGGGGGCGCTACTCCCAAAGTATCTGCATGCAACAGCTACTCCCTAAGTACTCTTGCAAAGCTTTTATTTATTGTTTTTCCATGATATAGGATGTATTGTAATAAACATAATTGTCTAAAAACACATCTTACTTATAAATATAAGAAAATTAAAAATAATGATTTTCTAAATATTTTTCACGAAAAGTGGTTATGAAATTGTGTTTTTCTCCCAGATCTTCGGAATAGGAATTGATGTATATTTAACAGTGACAAACATAATGTTCCTAGCCCTAATATTTACGTTTTAATGTAAATAATTAAAAGAATCAGTTGGTTTTTTTTTAATTTTAAATGTAATGTTTAGTAAGAGATATTAAGTTTGTCACTGATAAATATACATCAATTTGTATGACGGAAAGATGGGAGAAAAACACAATTTCATAACCATTTAACGTGAAAAATATTTAAAAAATCATTATTTTTAATTAAAGAGAAATAAAAGCTTTGCAAGAGTCAATTGTAGTCATTTTTGCAGGAAGCACTGTTACTTTAAGGTAACAGGTGACTGGATAGGAAATCACATCATTTCTTTACTTATCTTGAGATGAATCTCAAAAATTTTTCTAATAAACCTCAAATTAATTAATATGGACTTAAAGCTAATTAAAGCTTGAAGAGAGTTAAAAAAAAAGAATTTATCACTTTTTTTATACGGAACTTAGCTGTGTTTAGCCGCTCAATAATTCTCTTTAAAAAGAATTAACAATGACAAACTGTACTTCCGTTTAAAGTAAATTTTATCTAGTTTACTATGAATCAAATTTTATTTACTTAAATTAAATATTTCTTAAGTTATCGCTCAAACAAACACAAATCTTAAATTTCCTACTTTTCTGCTGGAAATTGGGCAATGGTTTATATTAACTTTTTTGTAGATCTTGAGGTTCACTATCAATCTTTTAAATATTTCCTTCTTACGCGACACTCTGTATACTTCATATATATAAAACGGTTATTACTTTGGAAGAAGAAGATAGATCCTAATTATCTATATGAAATGGTGATTCTTGAAGTTCTATTAAATGTAATTATACTAACAATAATACCTTCAGAGATAATTTTTACAATATTTTTTCATAAAACATGGTTATATTTTGCCTGCTTCAGCCAGCGTAGATCGGCCTGTGCTGCCATATATCAGCATTTGCTTTATCACTGCATTGTACATCCTTTGAGATTTCTAAAGATTTTTAGTACTCTAGAAAGAAATCTCCGTCTGCACTTGTTATCTAGTCTTTTTCATTAAGTTGGTAATTGATTGGGATAATTGTGGAGCTAAGGTATTTGAATCTGTCTACTGTCAGGATCATTTTTCAATCTATGCAGATTCTGTTGTAGGGGCTTCTTGACGGATTTCTTTGAGCTACATTCTCTGCCCATCTTAACACCTTGTCATCATATAGATATATGGACTGACCAGTTTCTATAAGCATTTCTTTGTTGGTCTGTCTCCTCCATGGATTAGTACTGTGATCCCAGATCTCTCCGTTTATTGTATGGTAGACTTCTCTGAAAGCTTTTAAATCTTATTTCTTGGGTATTAGTTAGAGTCCAGGTCTTGCAGCCATACATCAGCATTTGCTTTATTACTTGCATTACCCTTGAAGATCTCTAGAGATTTTTCAGAATTTAAGTAACTTAGAAAAACAAATATATCCCAGATCTGTTTCTTTTGATAAGAAAAAGAGATCAATTTCCAACTCTGAGAAGAAAGTTAACATTTACATTTAGATCTATAATTTTATAGCTTATAGATTATATTTTGTTTAAAAGGTATTGCCATAATTTTGGCCAAATTATTCGTTCATGTGATCTTAAAATTTTAATGAGTGATAATTTTTTTTTTTCAGGCAAATCCTCTTAAAATAAAAAGTGACGCTGTTGAAACAAAAGAGGATGATGCAACTGTTAAAAAACAGAAGGCTAAACAAAGTTTAATGAAACGAGCACGTAGTGTTGCAATCTTTTCTCTGAAGTTAAAAGAAAAACGAGCTGCTGCTGAAGCTAAATCAAGAGAAAAGTCAATTTCAGGAAAAACAGAACCAATAGGACAAGCTAGTGGTGAACTCTCTTACATTCCTATTGAAAAGCTAATATCTGTTGATGATGTCTCATCTACTAGACGCCGTAAAATGACAAATAATTCTAGTAATTTATAGATCTCCAGAATTTAAAATTTTGTAATTTTATTTTAATAAATATGTTTTATATTGTTATTAATTTCATTTTAGTAAATTTATAATTTCTCTTGAAGATTTTGGTTTGAATAAAAAACAAAGATAGTATTGTTGATCTGAAATTTATCCCTCTCCAGAAGCTTTGACGAGTGATAAAACAGCAAAGTTAAAATAATATTCCGTTAAGTTCCATTTATTATATTCCACTTGTAAATATGTATATATAAAGGGTGTCCCATAAGTAGAGTAAAATTTTTATAGGAGTGATAGCAGACTTCAAGATCTACAAAAAAGTTAATATAAACAATGGGCCCCAATTTTCAGCAGAAAGTGGGAAATCCATGTTTGGTGTTCTTTTAAGTTAGTCATGTTTTTTAAGCTCCTCCCCCTCCCCCCCCAAATGGTAAAATATAACCAAGATTTATGGAAGTAATATTAAAAAATTATCCCTAACAATAATACGTTCTTGTAAAATTTGAATAACCCGACTTTTTGCATGCTAGACCCCTTTTTTGTGCTAATTTGACTGGGCTAGTGGGGAAAGAAGAGAGAAGAAACTATGAGTCTCCGGGTAGAAGATGACGGAAGCGATGGAATAATTTGAGAGTGGAAATTGATCGTCGAGCGATATGGAAAATGTAATGCCAGAAGGGGTTTGTTCTATGGTAAAACCAAAGTTTTTAATAGAAGAGTTGAAGGTAATGGGCTGATCATTTAGGTAAAGTGTGGGAAAGTTAGAATTGGATCGAAGGAGGGGCTTGGAACCAATGACAACGACCTGAGTTTTAGCAGCATTTAACCTTAATCCGTTTAATTTTGCCCATACACTGATTTGATCTAGGTCCTCTTGAATCTTGGTAAACGCTACCAATAACTCAGTGGGAGAAAAGCATAGATATATTTGAGAATCATCTACTAAAGGTGATGGGAACAATGGAGAATCGACTCATGTAGGTCGTTAAATGGAGTAATTAGTAGTAAAAAAAGATACCTAAAAAGGAGAGGAGATATGCATTATCCCTGGGCAACTCCAGAGGATAAAGAAAAGTAGGCAGATAGTGGTTGATTGGGTACGTTGTAAGAGGAAAGATTGGAACCAGGAGATGGAGCTATTGGAGAAAGACAATGATTTTAGTTTGTTAAAAAGGATGGAATAGTTTGTGGAATAAAAGGCTTTGGAGAATTCAAGAAGTATAAGGACAGTTAATTGTTTATTATATATATCGCAGTTTAAATATCATTAGTAATTTTAATTAAGGCGGATTAAGTCGGTTGGACTCTTCAAAGAAATTGAAAACTTGGGATTGCACAAATCTTTCTAGGGGTTTTCAGAGATTGGAAAGAAGTGAGATTGGGCGGAAATCTTCGTGAGAGGATGGATTCATTCATTCATTCATGTATGGCACAACATCCCGTCACCGAGACTGGGCCTCCTCCAAGAGCCTCCGCCAGTTGGCTCTGTCTTCTGCTGCAGCTCTCCAGTTCCGCACACCAAGCAGGGTTCTCGCATCATAGGCCACGTTGTCCAACCATCTCGTCCTCGGCCTTCCTACCCGTCTTACGAGGTGCAGCTCCTCCATCATTATTTTTTTTGGTATTTCAAGGGTGCTCATTCTGGCCACATGCCCTGCCCACCTTAGTCTGGCCAGTTTAATATACGTGACTACGTCGATGTCTGCATAGAGAGAACTGAGCTCCCTATTTTTTCTTTTCCTCCAGACATCACCCTCCTTTACTGGACCATAAATCCTTCTGAGGACTCCTCGCTCAAAGACACTCAGCTTCATCTCATCCCTTTTGGTCATCGTCCAAGCCTCTGAGCCATATGTCAAAACAGGCCGAACAAGGGTCTTGTATATGATCAGCTTGGTCTTCTTTGAGAGGTACCTACTTCTTAAGTGTCGGCCAAGTCCAAAGACACATCTATTGGCAGCCGTGATCCTTCTTTGTATTTCTTGAGCCATGTCATTCTTGCTATTGATTTCAGACCCAAGGTATATAAAACTTTTCACTCTCTCAAACTTAAAAGAACCTACCTCAAATGGAGAGTTCAGATCAACCTCACCGCCAACTCTCATATACTTAGTTTTCCTCTCGTTGACTTCTAGACCAAGTGGTCTTGCAGCTGCTTCAAGGCTTATAAACGCTTCTCTGAGAGCCCGTTCAGACCTACCTACTATGTCAATATCATCAGCAAAACCAAGAAGCTGTGTCAGGCGATTGAAGATTATATCTTTGGTCTGAATACCGGAGTCTCTTACAGCTTTCTCCTCTGCCAAATTGAACAATAGACAGGCGAGGGCATCCCCTTGCCTAACCCCACTGCTCACTTTAAACTCTTCGGAGTCGTCAGAACCGACGCGTATTCTGCATCTCGAGCTGTCCATGGTCATCTTGATTAGGCGTACGAGCTTCTGAGGGATGCTTAGCTCCTCCAAGGCACAGTATAGTTGCGTTCTATCAACGCTGTCGTATGCTGCTTTAAAGTCCAGGAATAAATGGTGGGTGACTACCTTACGCTCCATAGTCTTTTCTAGGATCATCCTCAGAGAGAACAGTTGATCAGTCGTTGAGCGTCCTCTTCGAAATCCAGCCTGATATTTCCCCAGTTCCTTTTCAGAATACGGGAGGATCCTCTCAAAAAGAATGTTAGAGAGCAGCTTATAAGCACACGAAAGGAGTGAGATTCCTCGATAGTTAGCGCATTCTGTTTGATCTCCTTTCTTATGTATTGGGCAGATAATGGCTGTTGCCCATTCCGTAGGCATAGCTTCCTTCTCCCAGATGGTCAGCATTAAATCATGCAGAGCTTTCTTGAGTTCTTCACCTCCACATTTCAACAGCTCTGACTGGATTCCGTCCGGGCCTGGCGCCTTTCCATTTTTCAATTTCCTCAGGGCGTTTTCCATTTCCTCCTCATCCGGGGGTTCAATAGAATTCAGGGAGTCTTCCTTCATTACACCTACTTCTCCAGGCACCGTTCCTCTGTTTAATGCGCCTTTGAAATGTTGTACCCATCTCCTTAGTACGTCATCTTTGTGGCTTAAAAGAGTTCCATTTGTGTCTTTGCATGCCGTCACTCTGGGCCTAAAAGCTGCCCTACCCTCGTTTATTCTCTGAAAGAACAGGCGACTTTCATTTTGGCCTCGCAATGCCTCTGTGTCCTCCATGTTCTTATTTTCCCAAGCTCTTCTCTTTCCGCGGAATAATCTCTTCTCTTCGCGTCTTTTTCTTCTATATGTTTCTTGGGAGAGCCTTGTGGGACGCTGAACCTTCTTTCTGTAGGCTTCATTTTTCACTTTTACTGCTTGAAGGCACTCAGCATCAAACCATGGGGGCCTTCTAGATTTAGTCTCGTAGCCAAGAGCTTCTTCTGCTGCCTGTTTCATTGCGTTGCTGCATCTCTTCCACTGTTCATCGACCATAGAGCTGTCATTAATTACTTCTTCATTAAGTTTCGTCTCCACAGCTTGTTGATACGAATATTGGTGGTCTGAGTCCTTAAGTTTAACCACATCAATCTTCTTCTTTGGTCGTTGGTAGTGGTTTTTAATCAGCGAAATTCGTGATCTGACCTCGGCAATGCTCAAATAGTGATCCGTGTCCTTATTTGCACCTCTATAAGTTCTTGCATTTATCATGTTGGACTTGTGACGGGCACTAATGAGTACATGGTCTATCTGTGATGCTGTTTGCCCATTTGGAGAGATCCATGTTGCTTTGTGGATATTCTTTCGAGGAAAAAGAGTTGTTCCAACAACCAGTCCGTGCAATGTAGCAAAGTTCACCATCCGTAGCCCATTATCATTACTGGTCTCATGCAAGCTGTGGGTTCCTATGGTCGGCATGAGTGCCACCTCCTTACCAACTTGTGCGTTAAAGTCACCAAGAATGATTTTAACATCATTTTTGGGGCAGCTTTCTGTCACGCGTCCAAGTTCTTCATAAAATGCTTCCTTATCCTCCTCAGGTGACACCTCTGTTGGGGCATGGCAGTTGATTAGAGAGAAATTAAAAAATTTTCCTCTAAGCCGAATGTAGCATAACCTTTGGTTAATGGGAGTAAATCGCATCACCAACTGTCGAGCTCTGCCTCTCACAACAAATCCGGTGCCGAAGATGTGATGCTTTTCATGGCAGCTATAGTAGAGTGTATGGTACTTCTTCTCCATAATTCCCTGTCCTATCCATCGGACCTCTTGGATAGCTGCTATGTCGATTCTGTATGTGTCCACTTCTGCAAGGAGCGCACGAAGTGCTCCTAGTCTATGTAATGATAAAATGTTCCAAAATCCAATTCTTAGGTCATTTAGGCGTTTCCTGGGTCTGTTACCGTAATTCAGTCCGGCTTCTTCTCTTTGAGGTTTCGTAATAAGGTACTTTAGGGGGGGTGGGTTATCAGCCCACTGCCCCCGAGTCAGGTAGAGGGGCTGCCTCCTCCGAGCATCCTGACTAGCTCCCCCATCCGGGGCGGCTACCTAGGGAAGGTGACCCTAGGGTGTGTACTGTAGGTGACCTTTGTCTGTAGTGTTTAGGTGTTGTAGTGTGCTGTCTAAAGTGTACTTGGTGTGTGAGTGTTCGTGTAAGTGTTCCCCCAACCTGGAGGGCCAGTGGCTGGTTGCGGTACAATGACCGGGCGATGGGAGAGAGGATGGATTGGATCTTTTATTTAAAGGAAGGACGATGGATTTTTTCCAGGAGATAGGGAATACTGAACTCTGTAGGGAGAAATTGTCGATGAAATAGAGAAATGAGAGGATTTCAGGGAGACAATTTTATCAATTTGACAAGAATGGCATCTGGTCTTTTGGAATTAGAGTGGGATTTCATTACAGCGGTGAATAGGTCTATGGGCAAAATGTCGGAAAAATAAGTCATCATCATTAAATGATGACTCAGGAAGTTGGAAGAGGAGGATAGAGAAGAGGTTGAAGAAGCAAATATAAAATGTGAATTTAAATTGTTAGGGAAAACGAGAAAGACTAGTGATGGAGAGGGTCTGGTAGGTTCACAGAGAGAATGTTTCCAAGGATTAACCATTTAGATTTGGAATCTGGAAGTATGTAACTTTAGCACGCCGAATCCTTGTTTGTGTCAAGTTCTGGAGC